CTCCATAGTAGTTCCTGTTTGTGCTTACCTTATAGGATCCTATATGTATAAAAACCACAGGAACTCACCTGTCTAGAATATCCATTGACAAGCTTTTTGTCAGAATTGATTTGCATAATGCAAACACACATGTGTCATTAGGCTGCCGTGGATTTCTTCACATCCCACGGCTTGAGGCTCATGATGGCTTGAAGTCAAAGTATACATATTTTGTTATATAAGATATATATATATATAGATAGATAGATAGATATGTATGTATACGTACATGGATTGGTTCCTTCAACTGGGCTTTCTGCGAACAGCTGAGGGAATCCGAAGCCCAGATGCTTGAGCCTCTTGTCGTCACACCAGAACTCGTCATGCATTCGGGACGCCCACCGAACACAAGCCATCCGAAGAAGAAGAAGAATAACATACCCATAGGCCCCATAGTAGTTCCTTTTTGGGGCCGTCCGAAGAAGAAGAATATACCCATAGGCCCCATAGTAGTTCCTTTTTGGGGTTCATATTTAGAATCCTACAAGGTAATCCCCAAAAGGAACTACTATGGGGCCTATGGGTATGTCGTACCCTGAAGGTTTTCAAGCACGCCTTGAGGCTCAACTCCCGCATCTCAGCCAGCTCTCTGGTGCATGTAGCACAGAACCTGTGGCGGTTTGAGGGTTATTGGTTATTGGGGCGTTGTTGGTGTTTCGGGTTATTGGGGCTTAGGAGATAGGGTTCAAAATTCAAGGCTGAAGGGTTTCTACTAGAGCCTAAAGGATCTACTGCCCGAATACTAAGAATGAACCGTTGGGGTATGTTCTAGGAACATCATGTTCCTATGGAGCCCTAAAGAAGATGAAACTTATTCTGACCCCTACGTTATTCCTTTTCAGTGGAGCCACAGGACGCTCCTGCGAATAATACAGGGTTTATCCTTTACGGTGAAGAGTTCGGAGATTACACAGCTAGAATTCTGACACTGGGCTTTGGACTGGTGTCTTTGGAGTTTAGGGGCCCGGATCGTCAAGCACCCCCTGATTGCAGGGGCCTTCATTTTTGGACTGGGTTTTGCGGGCAGCAAGAGCCAAGAAACATCATGGAAATGTTAAGGCTCTTCGAGACTTCTATGAAGCCCTGTAAGGGTCAAACAGGGGTTTCGAAGAAAAGGCATCTCTAAGAGCGTAAGAATACAATCCCTCCACCACGACTGTGACTCCCATGCGTTTGGAATCTGGTGAGCTCCCGGCCATTGATCGTCGGGGCGCCCAAAATATGCCACCTGCACCAAAATATGGGGACCTTGATAACTAGACGAGGGTTCGGGCCATATTCCACTGTAAGTATACTAAGGAAACGAAAGGAATCATATTAAATTTGCATACTAATTATCCAAGGCTACATCTATATTCTCATCCCAAACCTTCAACACTGCTGTGCTAGACTGTGCGGATTTGGTTGAGGGTTCAGGTTTGGGCTTTATGGGTTCGGGCCTTTGGCTTTAGGATTTTGGGGCTTGTAAGGTTCAGGTGTACCCGGAGCCTGCATTGTACAGTTGATGTTCCGGGCAGTGTTGCAGCTGTCCTGCCAACCCTAAACCCTAAACCGTGTAAGACCCCCTGAAGAAAGTATTTTGGACTACGCACAGAAATCCGTAAGCCCTGTTTCCCAGGAGCCCAAAAGTCATAGAGTTCGACAGGGTTTGGAAGGTGCTAGGCTATGACTCCATTACGGAACCCTAAGACTCTGTTTGTTAATTACTCTCTCACTGTCACTACTATTGTCATCGCGATTTGTTGTTCAGGCCATATAATGCAATCAATATCAAAATATGTAAGAGGTTTCGGCCCGTTTCATGTTGCCGTACCCATAGGCCCCCATAGTAGTTCCTTTTTGTGGCTTATATTTAGGATCCTATTAGGTAATCCCAAAAAGGAACTACTATGGGGCCTATGGGTATGTCACCCCTTGCTGCCAGAGCGCATTTGCCTTCTCGGCTTGCGTAGGCTCAGATACCCGGACTACGCGGTAAACAGTAAAGGCATAAAGGCGATCCATGGAAACATTCCACCCATAGGCCCCATAGTAGTTCCTTTTTGGGTCCTAAGCATAAGCCACAAAAAGGAACTACTGCGGGGCCTATGGATAAAGGCGATCCATGGAAACATTCTGCTCTGCAAAGGACCTCGACCTATCTTCCGGAACACGAGGACTCAAGCGCCTGCACTAAAGGATTTTGAACTCTCATCCCTAAACCCTAAACCCTAAATCATGTATAATGTTAAGGTCTCAGTTTCAGGCATCTCTCTTTGGCAGCTACAACTCAATTCGACGTCTTCGCTGCTCAAACGCGGCATTCGCTACCTTTCCACACTTTATAATACCCTGACCCTAAACATTGAACCCTAATCCCCAAACTCTAAAACCCTACACCGTAAACCCCAAACTGCACACCCTTAGCCCTGAACCCTCGACCCTCACCGCCCTAACCCACCCAACTCAAAGCCCAAGGAGTTGAGACAAGCCACCGGCGGATCGTGACACTTTGCGTGGAAGGCCTTGTCGCAACGATCCTGGGGGAATGAGTCCGACTTAGTTAAGCCTCGAGGTATTGGAAAAGGCCTCGGTAAATGGGGGGCCTTAGTGTAGGGGTTAGGATTAGGGGGACCCTTGGGGATATAGACCCTCTCAATAAGGTCCCTTTTTTGAGACAGCCATAAGTAATTAAGGTTAAGAAGGGTCCCCTTTAAGGGGTCTCCCTAATACTACCTAGGATAACGGTTAGAACAGGTTTGCGGGGGTATGCTATGCTATCATCAGAACAAGGCACCCTCAGGACTAGTATTACTAGCCACTCAGGCCCGTGTATCAGCTCCTAAAAGGGAGGGAGTCATTCGGGGCCCATACTTTCCGTACAGCTTGAGGGCTCGGTAGCCTGAGGGTAGAGTAGGCCTTAATAATTAAAATAGGGGTGTGGAGTAACATTTAGGCCGTGAGACGCTTAGGATTCCAGATGCCGCTCTCACCAGGTGTCCACACATGTGGAGGATCCGGAAATCAAGTTCGGTTTGCCTGGACTTTCTAACAAAACGGCGTTGCCTCCATCTAATGCAGAGGTGCATGGATAGTTCTGACAATTGGAATAGATGTTTGGGGCATCTTGTAGTATAAATACAATAGTCAGGAACCCCCTTAGGATTGATATGGGAAACTATTCACCCTAAGCCCTAGACCTTTCTGTGCTTCAGCTCAGGGCCCTTCAACAGCCTCGAAGCCCTGCACGCGATATCCGAGACCTAAATCGAAGAGACCTGAGAATCCAAGCTAAAACCTACTTACACTGCAGCCATGCTGTTTCGAAAACCTGTACCTCACACTTTATCATGAGCCTCAAACGTCCCCCAACTCGGTGCTTCGATGACCGAAGGCCATGTACCAATGGCTGTTGTAGGGGCCTTCATAGTTAGAATAGGGATTTGGGGCCCATTATACTATACTTATATGATAAAGAGCCCCCAAATAATACAGTTAATTATGTTGGGGCCCATTATACTATACTTATATAATAAAGAGCCCCCAAATAATACAGTTAATTATGTATATAGGCCCCTTGGGCCCACTATACTATACTGAAAATAAGGAGCCCCCAAATAATACAGTTAATTATGTATGTAGGCCCCTATATCATATGCATCGACTCGGACCGGACCCCGAGGCAAGATGAGCTCCCAGCACACATGGCCAAGTCGTTATCCATGCTGGCGTGGCCTTGATAGAGACTTTAGGGTTTAGGGGTTAGGGTTTAAGGGTTTAGGGTAGGGTCTACGATCTGCGGTACTTCCCAAAATTCGATCAGGGAGAACCAGGCGAAAGACAAAACACTGCGATTGGCATTGTGGTGGAGGCCTATATCAAGTGCTGGCTTCGAAGCTAGCGAGAGATCAACCGGCAAGAGACAGGTTTGAGGCTGAGAGTCGCAGTTACAGGTATAAAGCTGTAGAGTGTGGGGTCTAGGGCTGCGGCTGGACGTGTGAAGTTTGGGCTGAATCTGCATAGATGAACTGCTGCTTAATCCGGTCCCGGAGCTTACTCGTAACACAAGGACCCTTGGCAAAGTCCCGACCTCAAAGTAGTCGATGCCTGACACCACTATGTCACAATACAGCCGAAGCGAAACTTGAGCCGGTTCAAGCCGTCTTTTTAAATCTCGTGAACCGACATCAGTAGTACATACTTGGACAGATACCCCGCATCCTAGATCTCCAACAGACCGATCGATGCTCACAAGAACGTTGTTGCTGCCAATGTGGCTCCCAAACCTTGTTGATGGCATATGCAAACCCTAAACCCTATAAGCTCTAAACATCCCAAAACCCTAAACTCTTTCACCCATGCATGTGGATCCTTGGAGACAAAAATAAAAATCGAGGGCTTACGAGGTTCCCTTAATGCGAATCCAGATGCAATGGCATCCGCAACCAGTCCAGACGAGTGCATGTGCTCTCACAGTATACTCCCAAAGGGTCCTAGGTACTGTGATGAGGGATCCTTTCCCAAATCATAATCGGTACTCCCGATACATAATACAGAAACCCTACATTCTACCATATGTCAGGTACATAGACCCTTAGGGAACAACCCTACTGTAGGGGCCATAATAATTAGAATAGGGTTCTGGGGTATATTATACTATAACTGTAGTCAGGAACCCCCAAACTCATATAGGGTTAATCCTTAAAGCCCTTATTATGTTAAAGCCCCACACTAATATAGGTATAATTCTTAAGGCCCCATATATTCAACCCTAATTGACGATCCGCAGAACCCAACATCTCCCTACACCCCTGAACCGTCATCCTGAGCCCTACATCCTAAAATCCTACCCTGATCCTCCAGGTACCTACTCTATAGAACCCTATAGGGTCTCTAGTACCCTCCATAGTGGGTTTAGGGTTTAGGGCTTTAGGGTTTAGGGTTTAGGTACCTGGAGGGTTAGGGCTAATCCTAAAGCGAAACCTGCAACCGAACGGAAGCCCTACACCCGGAAATTCGAGACACTGATCCGAAAAACACCAAACCTTAAACCCTCTACCCTCAACAGTATCCCTATAAACCCTAAGACCTAAACCCTATAAACCCTAAGCCCTAAACCCTATAAACCCTATAATGCCTAAACCCTATAAACCCTAAGCACTAAGCCCTATAAACCCTATAAGCCCTAAGCCCTAAACCCTTAACTGTGTGCCCGGCTCTCATTGCAGACGCAACATTTCGCCTCCAAGACCTCTGGAAAAAGATTCGCGGGAGCCGCATCCTGTCCAGGGCTCCGGTAAAGGTTTAGGGTTTAGGGTTTAGGGTTTAGGGTTTAGGGTTTAGGGTTTAGGGTTTAGGGTCTACCTATAGTCTCCATTGTCGTGACTTTTTTGGTTCGCACATCTCTACGCTAAGGATCCTGCAAGGTAACCCCCAAAACTTACTTCTCCAATTAGCCAAGGAAATTCAAAGATTAAACTTTCAGATTACTACTAAATTATATTGGCGCGGCAAGTCTGGAGGTTGTGTATTGGGGAACTAAGAGGAGGACCTACAACTGAGACAGTAGGTGTAGTCTGAGTCGAGGGGGGTTCGGGCTTAGGGATCTATAAGGGTTCTTTAAAGGGTTTAGGGTCTAGGGTAAAGGGGGTTTAGTTTAAGGCGTCGAGAGCTTGGGGTTTAGGGTATAGGGGGTTCAGGGCTTCGGTTTTGGGGTGTTTAGGGTTAGGGCTTGGAGTCTGAGGTATAGAGGGTTAAAGGTTTCGGGCTTAGTGGGTTTAGGGTCTGGGTGTTTTAGGGTTTCGGGTTTAAGGTTCAAGCCGGTCCGTAAACCTGAACGAACCCCTAACCCTGACCCCAAAACATCCTCAACCCTGAACCTCTCGTCGTGGCTTTCTCAAAAACCATTCAAAAGTAGGCCTTTTGGTCTACACTAGCCCGGAAGCCACCTTCGAAATTAACAAAGGACTGAAACAAGGAAGTCATAATCAAGAACCCTGCAAAACTGGGCATGATATTTTTCCCGAACCCCTACACCCCCAAATCCGAAACTAAGCCAAAAGCCTGACCTAAAACCAGGAAGGCCAAGATCCCCCGAAGCCATTCGGCTCAGCCTCTCCACGCAAGCGGCGGGCTCCTGCAGGTTTAGGGTTTAGGGTTTAGGGTTTCGGGGTTTAGGGTTTAGGGTTTAGGGTTTAGGGTTTAGGGTTTACCCAGAAGCTCCAATGTAGTTCCTTTTTTGGCTTGCTAAGTTTTTTGGTAAGGAATTATAGTATACTATACAAAAAGGAACTACAAAGGAGCCCTTGGGTAGGACTGGTTTAGAAGTTCTTGCCGGCTTCAATTCTTGTAGGGCTTCTGGTCTACACATGCTAGACCCACCCAATTCTCGTAGGGTTTCGGGCTTAAGGCTTAGGGTTTATAGGGTCCATAGCGTTTAGGAAGTTCAGGGTGGAGGATACTTCAAGATTGGCTTGCTTCCCCAGTAAGCCAAGGGAAATAACAAAAGGCTAAACTTTCACATTGCTACTGAAAACCCTAAACCCTAAACCCTAAACTTTCGGTATTGCAAAACTAAGTCGGGCCTCCTTCTATCAGGGTCTTGGGACTGTCGGCCTTTAGAGGTCTTGGCTTTTTGCGTCTGGGTGTTAGGCTTAGGGTTTAGGGTTCAGGGTTAAGGGTTCAGGGCTTATGGGGTTAAGGTTTTTTAGGGTTCAGGGTTCAGGGTTTAGGGATTAGGGGGTTTAGGGTTCAGGGTTCAGGCTTCAGGGTTCAGGGTTTAGGGATTAGGGTTTGGGGTTGAGGCTTTAGCCTTGTGCTCTTGAGTTGGGTCAGCGTTGTGTGCATAGGGGTTCTGTAGGTGGACTCCTTGTCAGACGGCTTCTTGCGCTCGAAAGTGCTTAGCAGCTGTTTGCATTGAAGGAGGTCGGGGGTTTCAGGGTGTGTCCTTCAAGTTGCGTGTTGAAAGTGGGAGTTAGGATTAGGGGGGACGCTTGGGGATATAGACCCTCTCAATAAGGTGCCCCTTTTGAAGAGAGCCAGAAACAGGGCAACCCTAAAAACCTAAACCGAGCCAGAAACAGGGCCAAGAAGGGTGTCCTTGAAGGGGTCTCCCTAATACTACCTAGGAGAAAAAGCCGGACCAGACTGAGGAAGCTCGCAAGTTCGTGGGGAGGAGTAATGTAGGGTGATTAGAATAGGGTTTGGGGTATACTATACTGTAATTATAAAAATAAGGAGCCCCCAACTAGTATTGGTAATAATTTGTGTTTTCGTGTATACTATACTATAAATAAAAATTGGAGCACACACAATAGTATTCGTAATAATTTAGGGCACTATAGTAAGTGCTTGGAGAGGAGTCTCATGTCGTCGTGGGCTGAGTGCAGTCTGAAGACGATCTCCGAATTCTGGGGCTGAGGCTCTGCCCTTTGAGCTTTGGGGGTAGGGTTTAGGGTTTAGGGCTTTAGGGGCTTAGGGCTTTAGGCATTAATTAGGGTTTGAGGTTTTAGGGTTTAGGGTTCAGGGTTTCAGGATTTAGGGTTGTAGGGCTAAGGCTTCAGGGAAGGCTTAGGGCCTTGGAGTTTGGGGTCCCGAGCTGTCCCGAGCTGGGGTTTAGGGTTTAGGGTTTAGGGTTTAGGGAAGACACCGAGTTTTCGGGGAGGAGCAGGCCGGACAGTTGCCTTAACTTCTCTGCCCACTGATCCTCAACCGGTTTAGGGTTTAGGGTTTAGGGTTTAGGGTTTAGGGTTTAGGGGGCACACGGCTCCAATCCCAAGACGGCTCCGGGATCTTCGACTCGAGGCCTTGCAGAAAATCCAGGGTCTCGTGCACGATCCTGACTGTCCAGAGACTCCAAAATCCCTTAATTAAGGAATATACCTTAAATCATATTAGGGATCCTATTATAATTTAAGGTGTATTCCTTAATTCAGGGATATTGGAGTCTCTGGGTGTCTCGGAACTCAGGATGCTGATGGGCTTCCGGTCTCTCCTGCTCATATCCCAGCGCTGATGGGCTTCTGGTCTCTCCTGATCATATCCCAGCAGGGAAGGGGGCCGTCTGAAGCCGTTGACACGATCACCTTTTTCTGACCTTGCCCCACTGTAGCATTCAATCAAACACTCCCGGCATTTGGGTAGTGTTCCAAGTTAGGGTCCCTTTTAAGGTCCTTTTTATGCGGGTGCTGTACTGTTTTGGTGACTTAAAAGGGGACCCTAATTTAGAGAACTACCCGTTCAGAACTTCTTGCGACTCAGAGGGGCCAGGGCCTACCGTACAGTAGGAGACTCCAAACGCACAGAGCAGATCAGCTCTCGCTGAGGATGGTTTCGCTTTGTTGTTGAAGGCCGCTTTCCGTCCACCAAGCGGCTCAGGGGTTTAGAGTTTAGAGTTTAGGGCTTAGGGCTGTAAGGTTTAATTGGGGTGAAATAATCAGATAGTTGCTCCATGTGAACCCTAAAAGGGTTTACGGAAAGTTTAGGGGTTAGGGTTTAGGATGTGACACGGGCCTTGCTGCTTCGAGGTGACTTCGGCGCGCTCGCGGGGCTCAGGCGCTCGCTTTCTGGCAGTGGCTCTGCCTCCGCGCTGGGAGGTGCAGGGACCAAAACGGACTAACTATGAGGCTGTCATCTGCTGTCCCTAGACCCTGAACCCTAAACCCTAATAGATCTTGAAACAAAAGCGAAACTGAGAAAAAGATGATGAACCTGGGGCAGAAACAGGGATCCAACAAACAATTTCTTGTTCAATAGTTGAACCCTTATATAAGAACCTAGGTTCGGGTTTAGGGTTTAGGGTTTCATGACTTAGAAAACTTAGGAGGATGTTTGGGGTTTATGCTTTGGTTTAGAGAAGAGAAGGACAAAGACTTGCCAGATGTCTATTAGTGTGGTGATAGCTTGGACCTTCCGTGCTGTTACATGCCGGCAGGCGGCATCACCACCAACAGTGACAGCAACCCTGAACCCTAAACCGTGCAGAACTCGGCTCATCATGTTGGAAAGGTTCATCATTATAAAGCAACCCTGCGACGTTTGAATAGCAAACAAGACACATCTGATGCGAGAGAGCCGCCGGCCAAGACCTAAACCCTGAACTCTAAACCGAAGGACTAAACTTTCAGCCTAAACCCTAAACTTAAACCTGCCACCCAAACAGCAGCCCTGAACCCTAAACTTAACCCCTTAAATCTAAACCTCAACACCACAAGGTAGGTCAATCGGTTTTAAGTGGACATGGCATGTTGCAGGGGCCTGTTCCGCTCGCCTCAGCAGCGGCCGCCTGGCTTAACAGCTGTGGCTTTTTCAGGGCCTGGAAAAAGGCCTAGGGTTTAAATTTAGAGCCCTATAAACCCTAAACCTGATATGTAGGGTTTAGGAGCGCCTGGAACCAGGAATCAGGCATCAGGTGTTGCTTGGGGACAGAGCCTCGGGTTGAAATTGCGAGCATGGGCCTTAAAGTATGTGGGTAATTCTCCAAATTAGGCTTCCTTAAAGGGATCTATAAGGGTTTCTAGGGGGTGGGTACTACAACGGTTCTAAATTAGGGTCCCGTTTTTGGTACCCAAAATACTATGGCACCCTTATTAAGAAAAGGACTCTAAAACAACCCTAAATTAGAGAAGTCTTTATCAAAGGACCCTAAAAGGGACCCTAATTTGGAGAACTACGCATGCAATTATACATGGGGATACATTGGCATGATATTCGGATCGATATTCGGACCACCCGACAGTCTGAGTCAAGCCCATGCCACAGCCGAGGCCCCTACGACTCTATACCTTCAACTGTAGTCTTTCTCCCTCAGCCCTAAACTCTAAACCCTAAGCCGAATGCAGTCTTTAGATGCGAAAAGATGGCGCAACCGACTCGAGAAGTAGAAGAGAGTGTCGAGGTTGCTTGCTGGAAGACCACGGACTAAACCCTCAACCCGACACAATACGCACCACAAGCCGTGAACATACCTACAAACCCTAAACCCTAAACCCTGAACACAAACCCAAAAGATCCACAAACAAACTGCCGGAGCTCACCCCTTGTGCCCTAACATAGGGGCCTCAATAAGCGAAAAAAGAGCTTACGGCTTTAAGATGCGTTGAGGGTTCACTGACAGGGGGTTAGGCTTGAGGATTCAGCCACAAACACCTTCGAAACTGAAAGTAACCCTAAACCCGAAACCCTAAACCCTAAACCCTAAACCCGAAAAAGCCTTCTGGGAGATCCGAAGGATGATGTCCAACACTTTGGCCTCAAACGGTTAGTGTACCCTTAACCCCCCTCTCAATTTTAAACAACCCAATATAGGGGCCTTAATAATTAGAATAGGGTTTTGGGGCCCATTTAGTATAATTATAATAATGAGCCCCCAAAGTAGTGTTGGTAATTACTGAGGCCCCTACATTAAATCCCCGAAGTCCCAAACCCCAGTATCGAACACACACACACACACACACACACCCCGTCACACACACACACACACACACACAAACACACACACACACACACACACACACACACACGCAACAGAGATCCGCGGCCTTCTTCTCCGCAGCCCCATTCGTCTCTGCATCGGGATTCACCCGCCTTCGAAAGGCACCGCAAGCAGACCCTACGCGCACATCCCAACCCCTAAACCCTAAACCCTAAACCCCTAAAACCTAAACCCTAAACCCTAAACCCCTAAACCCTAAACCCTTAAAGAGCCCTAAACCCTCATCCGAAGGCCCGATAAGTTTTGGTGTTCCTACTTGAGGTGCAAGGGGTGCGCTTCGAAGGTGCTTCGGGCCCAGGGTTTAGGGTTTAGGGCCATAAAACAGGTGGCTTGCTGGATGCTAGGAATGTAGGAAGGGAGCGGTAAGACTCGTGTGCATCTTGGAAACCCAGTCCTTACTGGGAATTCGGAGGAACAGAAAGTGTAGGGTGGCTATACTTGCTTGATGAGCACTTCCGAACAGCGGACCCTCGGCACCTCAAAGCGAAGCCACCATCAAATTCAAATCCAAGGCTCTTTGGCCCTAAGCACTCCCAGAACCGCATCACCCTGTTTGAGAAGTTTGCCTTTAGGGTTTAGGGTTGGAAGTGTGGCTCGAAACAACTAACTTCCCCGACCCTCCCTCTACACCATCATCATCATTGACATAGCAATAGCATCAGCAACAATACTAAGAACGACAAATGACAACTAGAATCATCACAATAACGGCAAGACCAATCACAGCACAGAGTTAATCCCAACATGGTCGCTTTTTGGATGGGGGTGCTAGGCCTGCAGGTGTTTGCGATTTCGACTGGAAGCAGAGCTGTCAGCTACTATACCATTTGGGGTCTTGATAACTAGCATGGGGTTTTGGGGTTCATAATAGTAGACCTCAAGAAGGAACCGCCAGGAATGACGTTGGTGGTTAATGGCCCCATGCTCCCCGGCATCATGCCTGCTGCGTCGAGTTGCTTCCGGCGCTGGCTTCGCCTGTCATGCAGTAGGACCAGAGCGAAAATGCACATTAAGACATGGGCCTTAACAATTAGAAAAGGGTTGGGTGTATGTTATACTATACATATAGTATCATAAAGAACCCCACAATAGTATAGGTAATAATTGAGGCCCATATATTAATTAGGTTTCGATGTTTCAGCTTCGGATCTGGTTCAGAAGACTTTGCATGAATTGTTGGAGGAGGAAACCCCTCTTATGCTATGGTACCAAAGCTGCTACAAGGGATATGATTAGGAAGGGCTTTGGGCGTGCTATAGTCGTCGGGACCATAGAGAGATATGGATAACTACACTACTTCTTCAGTGGCCTCTTTCCTCTTCTTCTCGTGTGCTGCTGAAGCCGGGACGATAGCGCTCGAAGGTTGTTTGGCGCCTGGGCGAGGGCCGTCATTCAACTCGCTGCTTGCAGAGGTGGCTTCTAAATGGGACGTGCAGAAAGCAGGGAACCTGCTGATACAAATTGCAAGAAACTTTACTTAACTATATATAGTGCCAAGGAATTTGGATGTTGGCTGTACAGTCTGTTAGAATTATTGCAACCAGGACTACTGCTGCTGCCGCTGCTGCTAATCATTATGCACCAGTATGCACGAGCATGATATCCACCAGCAGCAGCACCACCACCACCGCCAACGGCAACACCAACGGTACCACGAACACCACCACGACGATTACGACGTCCCACATTCTCTTACCGACCGTGAGCTTTGAAGCTAGCAACATCAAGACGGTCTGGAAACCCCCGTTACGATGACCGTGGCACTGAGGTATGCTAGGCTGCCAGGGTTAGCCAGGTCAAGCGGTTCTAGTCTCTTGGCGCCGGCCTAATTTGGAAGTTGAAGACTTCAGCCTTGGTACTGAAGAATTGACTGCCATGGCACCCGCTGAAGACCACAAACACATACCACTCGGACGCAGTTGCAGCCCGGAAAAATCTTTGTCGCTTCGTCGACATCCACCCTCCTTTCCACTGCCCCGGAAGAAACGCCCCAAGGGTTCTACGCCCACGAGTTTGGGATCAGGAAGGCTCGATGTAGGGCTTTGGGTTTAGGGTCTGCGGGTTACAGCGAGTTCTAGGCCCCAAACGGCGACATCCTATGACCGAAGGACGAGAAGCCCCTAAACCCCAAACCAGTGAACCCAAGGAGCCAAGGGCATCCCCTACCCCTGACTTGTGCTTGAGGCAGATTGGACGAGGGAGTATAGGGATTGTGGATCCACTCTCCCACTCCCGCGTATAAGCACCAGTAACACCCTGCTGGAGAGCCTGTTTCCGTCTGCTCGCGCTCCTTCTCCACTGCGGCCTTCGTTGTGTTGGACACCGAGATTTCAACTTGGTCATGTGATCTTCGTACCACACACGGCGGCTACAGCTTGCGTCTGGAACGCTATACTAGCGGGCTAAGTATACAGGCCAAACACCTTCTACTACCGTTTTCCAGGGTGTCCCAGGAACCCACTAGTTTTTCATAAGGTTAGCTCCTGCAGCAAATCCGGAGCCTAATGTGGCGGCCTATTTAATAGCACCCCCCCCCCCCC